CTAATCCATGTAAGTTCTGATTTCCAGGAGATATGATGTTATTAAAATAGCCAATAGCACTTTGAACAGAGAAGAGTTGTTGTATTTGCTTCGTGGTGGCCAGCTTGATGACAATGTTAGATTATATATGCTTAATAATGTATAATGTCTTATTCATATATTGAATTTTAATGTTTCATTGATGTTACAGATGGAAGAAGCATTGTTGGACATGCTTCAGCAAGAGGCATATGACAAAAAATTTGGAGTCGTCTAAGTGTTCTTTTTTGTAAGTACATGTTAGTTCTAAATTATCATGTTAGTTTTGGCAAAAATGCATATTACTTCTAGTTCTAGCCATGTAAGTTCTGCAGGAGCCATGCTAGTTCTAGTTTGCGTCACATTAGCTCTAACAAGATAAATGTTAGTTCTAAATTGTTTCATATTAGTTCTGCCAGTATCCATGTTAGTTCTAAATGGCGTCGTGCTAATTCTAGCTTATAACATGTTAGTCCTAATGTATTCCATGTTGGTTCTATCATCCCTCATGCATAATATTGAACATTACGTGCTACTCTTGGTAGCACTCAGTCTACTCCATCAACCCATCGCATTACGAGCTATTTTTGCTATATATTGAAAAATACACCGTCTTCGCATAGAGCATCTGTTGATCCCGTTGGTCAGGAACAACCACTGACATCTGGTTAAAGTTGATTTACAAGAAAATATCGTCAACCACTACAGTTCTGCTTGTCATGAAACTTGGATAGAGCCTGTTAATAAAATCATAAACTATTTTAATGAACAGCAAGTTGATTTTGTTAGGCCAAATGTATCCAGAGTATTTAAATACTAGGCCATCAAATGCGAACAATAAAGAGGGAGGTTATTTCCTTTGTATAAATCATGTTATAGTTCTATCTCTAGAGAAAATGTCTAATATAACATTCTATGTTGAAGCCATGACTGTGGTGTGTTCATCTACCTCTACATCCAAGCAATAATTGAAGGTCTCTCGACATTGCGGGTTAATCATCTGGACTATATCCCTAAAGCTATGCGAGCGAGAGTTGCTGGACAATTATTATTAGCTGGTTGTGAGTAAAGACATGTAAACGGGTCAGCGTATAGTGATGAATGACATGTTTATACAAATACAATGATTCAATGTTTATAAAAATATAATAATGTATGTATATTTAATTAAAAACGTACATCATCAGAGGTATTGCTAGCTCAAACAACCTGATGGTCTAAAAGAGACCTTGTCAGTTCTAATTACAGTTGCGACTGTTCTAGCTTATTTTTATTAGCTCTAAATGAGCATTAGTTTAAGTGTATTACGTTCTTTTTTGCTGGTTCTATCTTGTTTCTTGTTAGTTCTAACTTCTATTAGTTCTTCTGGATTAAGTGTTAGCGCAAAACAATACAGCGTTAGTTCTATCCCGATTCTTGTTAACTATTGCTTCGCGTTAGCTCTAACTTTGTAAGTATTAATTTTATCCTAATAGTCACACTGGCTATTTGCTCCTTTTCAAGACATGTTCTATCACCCCAATAGTTATCACCTCATATATTCGCAGTTACTATAGTTCAATAATATTTCCCTCGATTCTCACGTCACCGCCATTCCTTCACAATCCATCAACTTCTTCCACCAGCGTCGGCGACTCCATAAGCCCCTCATTCCCAAACAAACTCTAAAACCCAGCGTCTTCAATTTTTGTTAGTTAACATCACAGATGGGTAAGGATGGCGCATGTGTACATTATCATGGATCAGGGCTCTTCTCTTGAGATTGTCATTATGGTATTACTACTCGTGCCCCTCCAAGGTTGCTTACAGTCCCACTCAACACTGCCAGCACAATCAGGTCTCTCTGCTTTCACCATCTTCAATCTTGAAGCAGGTCGACCATCCCTCCAGGAGCTCAAAGAGGTGCTGGCTTATCGCTTCAATCTAAGGTCTTGGCCCCATCAAAGAAAAAATGCGGCAGGCTATAGCTTCATGGTGTAGTTTCCATCGGACACCCTTCTTGCCCAAGCCATAGAGCTCGGCCTAGTAGACATGGGCACCTTTAGGGGAACATTCCACCGTTGGAGGGAAGATCACAGGTTATTAACATTGCCCCAACCTTTCCTAGTATGGATCCTCCTCTTCAATGTCCCATACCACCTCTGGAATTATGAATTCCTGCAATCTCTCCTTGATAGTATTGGTAAATGCATTATGTGCTCTAAGGATGTCATAACTAATACTAACTTCTAAGACTGTAAAGTGTTCCTCAAGGTTAAGGATTTATCTGACATCCCTAAGAGGCTTGGGTTCCATTACACATCTCTAGTTGACGGCAACATAAAGGAAGGCTATGTCGTCACGCAAGTCCAATGTAGGAGGGGTTTGGAGAGGGCTCAGGGATCCACTCGCCTTAACATAGGGCCACAGCATGCGCAACCTATTAGTTCTGATCCAGAGTTGTAGGAGGTTAGCTGGGATTGTATGCATATGACTGCGGATAGAGACCAATGGCAGCTCTTTCTCCAGAACCAAGGGATCGGCCCTTCTAATTTTCTGATGGCTCTCCCCACCACCAATGCTCCTCATCCGGGTAACCCTTCCGACTTACAAAGTTGATCATCAAAGTCCAGCTCTCCATCCTCCACATGCGGAAAGCCCACACTCTCAAAGTGTAAGGGAAATGATAATGATAAAGTTTTATCAGACATCTTTCGCTCAAGCGATGGTAGCAACAAATGAGGAACTAGAATCTTTTTTATCCACAACACCGCATGAAGTTAGTTCTGTCCAATTTTGCTGCTGTAATGAAAAGAAACAATTTGTTACAAATTATATTTCACATACAGTGATGTTTTTATAAATGGTTGTTAGTTATATTTGATAATAGTTCTACCTAATGATATGTTATTTTTAATTGCTATCATGTTAGTTCTAGTAGCACTCAAGTTCTTTGTTACAAGTATTCACCCTAGCTGATACGTTAGTTCTAACTCATCCAACGCTAGTTCTAGCTTGTATAAAGTAGTTCTAACAAACACCATGTTAGCTCTTCCTCCAGCTCGTGTTTTTTCCTCCACAAGTATTGGTTCTAGTTGTTACGTTAGTTCGAGCTACTCCAACGCTAGTTCTATCTTGTATACAGCCAGTTCTAATTCACACCTTGTTTTCTTTTCTTACAGCCCGCATATTTTCCCTCACAAATATTCGCCCTAGTTGCTACGTTAGTTCTAACTCATCCAATGCTAGTTCTTGCTTGTAAACAGCCAGTTCTAGCCCACATCTTGTTAGCTCCAACTCCAGACTGCATTTTTTCCCTCCACAATTGTTGGTTCTAGTTGTTGCATTAGTTCTAACAGCTCCAACGCTAGTTCTAACTTATATATAGCCAGTTTTAGCCCACATCTTGTTAGCTCTTCCTCCATCTCGTGTTTTTTCACTTCACAAGTGTTCGTCCTAGCTGCTACGTTAGTTCTAACTAGTCCAATGCAAGTTCTAGCTTGTATACAGTTAGTTCTAGTTCACCCCTTGTTAGCTCTTCCTCCAGCCCGCTTTTTTCCCTCAATAATTCTTAGTTCTAATTGCTACGTTAGTTCTAACTTCTATAACGCTAGTTCTATCTTGTATAAAGTCAGTTCTAGCCCACACCTTATTAGCTCTTCCTCTAAGCCATATTTTTTCACTTCACAAGTGTTCGCCCTAGCTGTTACGTTAGTTCTAACTTCTTCAATGCTAGTTCTAGCTTGTATACAGCCAGTTCTAGCCTACACCTTATTTCCCTTCACAAGTGTTCACCCTAGTTACTAAATTTGTTCTAACTGCTCCAATGCTAGATCTAACTTGTATACAGTCAGTTCTAGCTCACCCCTTGTTAGCTCTATCTCCAGCCCACAGTTTTCCCTTCAAAAGTATTAGTTCTTATTGATACGTTAGCTCAAACTGCTTCAACGCAAGTTCTAGCTTGTATACAGCTAGTTATAACTCCGGAAAAGTTCTATTTGAGTAAGTGTTAGCTCTATTCGTTATATCATTTAATTGTTCACGGCTTTCCAAGACATGTCCTACCACCCTAACATGTCACATCATATATCCGTGAGTTTACAATTCAGGATAGGCGGTTAAAATAATATTTTTCTCTACCCTCACATTACAGTCTTTACCACCACAACCCTTCAACTTCTTCTACCCTCGTAAGCGACTCTGTAAACCCCTCTGCCCCAAACAAATTCCTAAACCCAGCGTCTTTAATCTCTATCATAAACCATAAAAGATGGTTTTGAATAGTGCTTGTGCACACTGCCATGGCACTATAAGAAATTACGTCTTTAACGAAGGGATTTCCCTTCGTTAAAGAGAAAAAACCTTCGTTATTATATGCTAACGATGGGAAAAAATCACTTCGTTGCCCGTTGTTAAAGCCTTCTTTGCTAAAGGGCCACGAAAGTTATAATACCCGTCGTTATAGAGTCTATAATGATGGAACTTATTACCATCGTTTATATCTGTGACGGCAATTATCACCGTTATTACCATCAGTGACGGGGAATTTTTCCCGTCGTTACCATCAGTGACGGGCATATTTCTCGTCGTTACCATCAGTGACGGGGATTTTTTTCTCGTTGTTACCATTAGTTACGGAGATATTTCCCGTCGTTACTTTGAATGACGGTTTCTCATTCTCGCAATCTTTGTATAATAACGGGTGACAAACCCGTCGTTCAAGACCAATTAATGACGGTTGGATACCGTCGTAAAAGTCCTAATGGTGGGTAATTTGTAACACATCAATGATTGTTCTTTCCCTTCGTTGATGATCAAAGTGTGGTTTATAAAACTGTCATTATAGACTATAAATTTTTAATATACACTAATGACAATCTTTCCATTCATATGCAACTATTATGTAATTCTCAACATGATCACTAAGAGTCACAACACAAATATATTAAAAATACACAATAATGAATAAAAGGGAAAATAAAAACTCCATTCATTAATAACATCAATAAATAATATTCCACCATCATCAAATATGAAATACTAGTAATAAGTGTTCCAAAGAAAAATACATGAAACTATCTCTTTTCTTCTATAACCTGTGCTTCCAAATCAGATCGACTAGGGAACGGTCCTCTCAAATCTTACAAAGTAGTCCCACCATCAAATACAGTGATGTGACCATAAGTTGCTTCCCCCCAGATTTTCTCAACAACCTTAATGTCTGAAAGTGAATGGTTTGCTTGTTTGACTTGGACAATTTCATCCTATAAAAATTAAATTCATATGTTAGTACTATATAATGCAACATTATCAAACTTGAAGACATATTCTACTTACATATTTATCTTGATCCCCAGTATCTAGTGTTTCATCAGCTTTCTTTTGGGTTTTATAAAACATTTTTGCCACATAAGGTGGATTTTCTGACTTGCCACCCTTATTCAAATAGTAAATAAAAATGAGTACAGCATCAAACTAAAAAAAATAGTTCAAATAAATAGAAATTTAGTTTTGAATGTATACCAAGTCCCAAGCAATTTGTCTAAAGGGTTTACTGCCCGTGTGGTGGAGCATCTTTCTTTTGCCTCTGTTAAGTGTATTTTGTTAGCTTGCTTTCCATACATCAAGATTAAAAGGTAATTTTAATAATCAAACAATATACATGGAACAAAATAAATAAAATTAGGAGATTAATACCTAAAATTTTGAAGAAAATAATGTTCCTTGACTAGCCAATCCCAGTCATCAACATCTGCAGGTTTATTTTTAAATGCAACTTGCAATAAATTTTCTTTCACATATTTCCTGTGCATGTCACCACACCACTTATTCCACAAATCGTGCAAGTGTCTTAATATTGAATCTCTCTTTTGCTCTATGTACTCGGCATCAAATTTATCCTATATAAAATTTGAATCAGAATATAATTTATGAGAATTAAAGACCAATTGCAAAAAATTAATTTTCAATGTACCTTAATGGATGCCCACATGTGATCTTTATTTTGTTGATGTTGTTGTTGCTCCTGCTCATCTAAGTGTTGTCGAAGCATCTGATTCTTTCTCTTTTCTTCTATAACCCGTGTTTTCAGATCAGATCGATTAGGGAGCGGTGCTCTAAAATCTTTCAAAGTAGTCCTGCCACCAAATACAATGATGTGACTATGAGATTGCTTCCCCTAAATTTTCTCAATTATATTAATGTTTGAAAATGAAGGGTTTGCTTGTTTGAGTTGAATGATTTCATCCTATAAAATTCATATGTTAGTACTATATAATGCATCATTATCAAACTTAAATATGTATTCTACTTACATAGTTATCTTGATCCCTAGTATCTAGTATTTCATTAGCTTTCTTTCATATTTCATGGAACATTTTTTGCCACATCAAGTGTTTCATGGAATAATTTGTCTAAAGGGTTTACTGCCCGTGTGATAGAGCATCTTTCTTTTGCCTCTGTTAAGTGTATTTCATTGGATTTCTTTCTATACATCAAGATTAAAAAAGAATTTCAATTATTCCACCTCGGTTTTTACACCATTGATCTTCTCCCTAGCTCTGGCATAACAAGTAAATTTTTTGTATGTTAGAAACATTTAGTGATAACTATGTGTATATTTTCCTATCACACATGATATGTGCATGTGCGAATATATGCACATGGTACTTAATATTTGCATGTGTACATGATACGTGATGTATGAATATGCTTGTATAACTGCACCTGATAAGTATTGTGTATTTGTGAATATGTCCAATGCATATGCATACATGTATATGTACAATATGTGTGCATGTATGCGCATATGTGCATATATTACCTGTGAACCACTTGATCACATGCCAGAACCAAGTCTGACTTGTGTCATGTAACTCTGCAGCATAATACCCATTTGATCCGGATGAGCAAGATCAACAAAATCACTGATGAAGGTAAACATGCTCATCTGGTATGGTTAATGAATTCCATCCACAAGGTCGTTGACCTTTGCATGCAATCCAGATAAGGTCAAACTATATCATTAGGCTGCAAAGACAGATATTGTATATGGAAGGATGTGTAGGACTCGCCAGTACTTGGACTTAGTACTCAATGGGTAGAATATTAGAGCATGAATTTCTTACCTCACTCAAGACACTCATATAGTGATGGAAACCTGCTCATCTACATTCTCCTGAAAGAAATTAAATTATAGATTAGATTAGATTTGAAGCAACTTCAATTACAATCAGAATGATTAAAAGTATGTTAGCAGCAATTTCACATTCTTGACCTCACATTTCATTGCTTGTCATAGTTGAGACTCAAAGAACAATACAACACTCTAGGATCCGCTTTCTAGCGACTCTCTAGTCCTCTATAATATCTAAGAAGCATTTTCTTTTCAGCTCACCTTCCATCTAAGATCTTGGGGAGAGTTTCCCATCTTTCCAAAATGTTGCCACAAGCATTATCATTTTCTTCCATGAGTAAATCCTCTAAAAATGAACTTGTCAAAATCATAATGATAACAAAATTGAATGTAATGTCAAACCAATTCTTCTGATCAAGAAAATAAGAGACTCATATTATACATTGAGGTAAGCAATCTTTAGATCCTTGACTGTCATGCGAGTCAGACTTCATCTCTCTTCTTTAATATTATCGAATCTATGCCAGATGGTTGCATTATTCTTGAAACAAAACAGTAAATTTGATCCCACAAATAGAAATAAAGTAACTGGTAAAAATAATTCCACTGGCAAGCATAGGAAAAGATATAGCATTTTATGCTCATGAAAAATTATTAAAATTATTTAATAATTTTCTTAGGCATCAAAAATATTATTCTACAAGAAAAATGAGTCCTTCACATGCCTTAATAGCTGGAATCCAACTAAAAACTACATTCTTAGCAAGATCCAGATGATGGTAAAAAGAAGCAAATTTTAGCCTAATTCACATTCCTACCATCTCTTCATATCGTAAGTACTTTTTACCTCCTTCGGAGCCATGTGAAAAAAGAATAATAGGTAAAGAAAGCCTCTCTTCTGAAGCTTTTCTTTGTTAAGAACTCCACACAACTTAGTTGGAGCGGAAGGAGCTTTTCAGAATAAGCCTCACGAATTGTTAAAACTAATGTTTAATAAGGACACAAAATAAAAGAAGTAGCACCTATCATCACCGTGAGTTAAATCATTAATAGGTGTTACATGTTTTGTGGGATCAAGATGGACAGAGTGGTTGTCATTGGAAAAGCCACCATGTACTGTAATGGTAACATCAAAGAATGCTTGCTCAACGATGAACAAATGTAGATATAAACATTTATATATCATATAAAATTATAATGAGCAACACACTTATTATAAAAAATTTAAGTGGTTATTAATAACAAATGTAACTAATGAATTAAAAGCAAATATTGAAAAAGCACTTGAAATCGGGACGATTGTGTTTACCTTAGTAAAGAAATATACTTCTTTACTATTATTTACTCTTCTTCATTATAGAAGAACCACTTATCTTCCTGGGTAACAGAGTCCCAATTCTCAACTACTGCATAGAAAACAAATGAACATTATTTACATTATGATTTGATGAGAAGAAAGACTACTAGTCTATGATAAAACCTTAAAGTATAAAGTTTGAACTATTGTTATAGCTACTTAATTTCCTGAATATTTGCTGATTGTTTCCACAAACAACATAATCAGTTCTCACAGCATCAGACCTTTGATTCTCTGTTGGCAATGTATAAGCAAAGGAAAAAAATCTTAATTAAGCTAACAACGAAAATAGTTGCAGCACTAGGGGCGACACTGGGGTGATGCTGGGGCGGTACAGGGGCGATGATGGTGATGGGACAGGGCTGCTGCGTTGCTGGGGTGATGCTTGCACTAGGGCAGCGCTAGGGCAGTGCTGGGTCATTGCTAGGTTGGAGCTCGAGCGACGATGGCTCTAGGGCGGTGCTGAGGAAGAGCAGGGGCGACGCTGGAGCGATGCTGAGGTAGAACAAGGGAGATGTTGGCGTTGGTCCTTTATATTATTTTTATTAGTACTCCTGGTATTGTTAGGTTTTATGATTAATAAAGGTAATTGACTCCTTCACCTTTCAGGAGGCCCAATAACAACGGTATTAAAACCTCACATCATTACTGACGGTCTCATAGTCCTTTCATTACTCTACTTGTGATCACTCGATTAATCGTTATCTCATCTCACATCATTACTCTACTTGTGATCACTCGATTAAGGTTTTTAAAACCGTTATTATTTTACACACATTAATGACGGTCTCATAGTCCTTTCATTAAATTTGGTCGTTAAAGACCTGATTTCTTGTAGTGATGTGTCAGGGCATACCTCTGAAAATTATCATCATGGTATTACTGTTTGTGCCCCTCCAAGGATACTTGTCGTCCCTGCCAACACCTCCAGCACCATCCGGTATCTTTCTGCTTTCGCCATCTTCAATCTTAGATCAGGTCGTCCATCCGTCCAGGAGCTCAGAGAGATGATGGCTTCTCGATTCAATCTCAGGTCATGGCTCCATCAAATCAGAGAAGAGGTAGGATACGGCTTCATAGTGCAGTTTCTATCATCCGACCTTCTTGCCCAAGACATAGAGCTCGGCCTGGTAGATATGGGCACCTTTAGGGGCAGATTCTTCCATTGGAGTGAGGATCTCAGGCTTTACAGACTTTCACCTATTCCCCAACCCTTTCTAGTATGGATTCGCCACTTCAACTTCTCATACCATCTCTAGGATTTTAAATTTTTGTAATCACTACTCAACCCCATCGGTGAATGCATCATGAGTTGTTGTGATGTCGAAAACCATGCTAATTTCGAAGAATGCAAAGTACTTCTCCAGATCAGGAATTTGTTTAATGTCCCTAAGAGGATTGGTTTTTGCTACATCTTTCTCATCGATAGGATCCTAAGGGAAGGCTACGTAGTCATGTAGGTAATCAGCAGGGAGAATTTGTAGAGGACTGAAGGATACACTCGCATTGACTTTGTACCCCAGCGTGCGTAGCCCTTTGGGATCGACCCAGAGTTGATAGAGGTTTGTTGGGACGGCAAACACATGACCGTAGAGGGAGACCAATGGCGACTGTTCCTCCTAAACCAAGGAGTCGGCCATTCCAATCTGTCGTGGATAATCCCCTTCACCAATGCTCCTCATCCAGCTAACCCCGCCAGCTCACACAGTGGCTTGTCTAAATCTAGCTAACCCCATGAAGTTAAGTATGTTATATTTTGCACTATAATGGAAGGAACTAGTTAGTTATATAATGTTGTACATAAAAATTATATTTCCAACGCGTGTTATTTCCAACGCAAGTTCTTGTGCAAGTGTGTGTTCAAATGACTTGTTAGTTCTGACTTAGTCCTTAATAGTTCTAGCTACTATGGTGTTAGTTCTAGATACTGTCATGTTAGTTCTAACTCTAGCTAACGTAAGTTCTTGTGTAAGTATTTATTCTAAATGCAATTCATTAGTTCTATTTTTAGTCATTGATAGTTCTAGCTGTTGTGGTTTTAGTCTTAGATGCTGTCGTGTCGGTTCTAACTCTAGCTAATGGAAGTTCTTGTGCAAGTGTTTGTTCTAATATCCATGTTAGTTTTACCTTAGTCATTAATATTTCTAGCTACTGTGGTATCGGTTCTAGATGCTATCGTGTCATTTCTAACTCTAGCTAACGCAAGTTCTTATGCAAGTGTTTATTCTAAATGTGTTTTATTAGTTCTAGCTTAGTCATTGATAATTCTAGCTGCTATGGTTTAAGTTCGAGATACTTTCGTATCAGTTCTAACTCTAGCTATGCATGTTCTTGTGCAAGTGTTTGTTCTAATACCCATGTTAGTTCTAGCTTAGTCATTGATAGTTCTAGCTGCTATGGTGTCAGTTCTAGATATTGCCGTGTCAGTTCTAACTCCAGCTAACGTAAGTTCTTGTGCAAGTGTTTGATCTAAATACATTTTGATAGTTCTAGCTTAGCCATTGATAGTTCTAGCTATTGTGGTTTCAGTTCTAGATATTGTCATGTCATTTCTAACTCTAACTAACGCAGGTTCCTGTGCAAGTGTTTGTTCTAATGTCTATGTTAGTTCTAGCTTAGCCGTTGATAGTTCTAGCTGCTGTGGTGTCATTCTAGATACTATCGTGTCAGTTTTAACTCTAGCGTACACAAGTTCTTATGCAAATGTTTGATCTATATATGTTTTGATAGTTCTAGCTTAGTCATTGATAGTTCTAGTTGTTGTGGTTTCAGTTCTAGATACTATCGTGTCAGTTCTAACTCCAGCTAACATAAGTTCTTATGCAAGTATTTGTTCTAATGCTCATATTAGTTCTAGGTTAGTCATTGTCAGTTCTAGTAGCTGTGGTGTCAGTTCGAGATACCGTCGTGTCAGTTCTAACTCCAGTTAACGTAAGTTCTTATGCAAGTGTTTTATCTAAATGCGTTTGGATAGTTCTAGATTAATCATTGATAGTTCTAATTGCTGGGATGTCAGTTCTAGATGTTGCCGCGTCAGTTCTAACTCCAGCTAATGTAAGTTCTAACTCCAGCTAATGTAAGTTCTTGTGCAAGTATTTGTTCTAATACTCATGTTAGTTCTAACTTAGTCATTGATTGTTCTAGCTGTTGTGGTTTCAGTTCTAGATGTTGTCGTGTTATCCAGCTAACCCGCCGATTCACACAGTGGATCATATAAATCCAGCTTGCCCCATGAAATTAGGTCTGATATATTTTGCACTATAATGGAAGGAAATAGTTAGTTATGTAACACTGTACATAAAAATTATATTTCCAACACGTGTTATTTCTAACGTAAGATCTTGTGCAAGTGTGTGTTCTAATGACTTGTTAGTTCTGACTTAGTCCTTGATAGTTCTAGCTGCTGTGGTGTCAGTTCTATATGATATCATGTCAATTCTAACTCCAGCTAACACAAGTTCTTGTGCAAGTATTTGTTTTAAATGCATTTTGTTAGTTCTAGCTTGGTTATTGATAGTTCTAGCTGCTGTAGTGTCAGTTCTAAATGTTGTCGTGTCAGTTCTAACTCCAGCTAACATAAGTTCATGTGAAAGTGTTTGATCTAATGCCCATGTTAGTTCTAGATTAGTCATTGATAGTTCTAGCTGCTGTTGTGTCAGTTCTAGATGTTGTCGTGTTAGTTCTAACTCGAGCTAACGTAAGTTTTTCTGCAAGTGTTTGTTGTAAATATCTTTTGTTAGTTCTGACTTAGTCATTGATAGTACTAACTGTTATGGTTTTAGTTATAGATGTTGTCATGTCAGTTCTAACTCTAGCTAACGTAAGTTCTTGTGCAGTGTTTGTTCAAATGTCCATAATAGTTCTAGCTTAATCATTGATAGTTCTACCTACTGTGGTGTTAGTTCTAGATGCTGTCGTGTCAGTTCTAACTCTAACTAACACAAGTTCTTGTGCAAGTGTTTGATGTAAATACGTTTTGATAGTTCTAACTTAGTTATTGATAGTTCTATATGTTGTGATGTTAGTTCTAGATGATGTCGTGTCAGTTCTAACTCTAGCTAACGTATGTTTTTGTGCAAGTGTTTGTTCTAATACCCATATTAGTTCTAGTTTAGTCATTGATAGTTCTAGCTGATGTAGTTTTAGTTCTAGATGTTGTCGTGTCATCCAGCTAACCCCGTCGGTTCAGACAGTGGCTAATCTAAATCCAGCTAACATCATGAAGTTAGGTCTGTAATATTTTGCACTATAATGAAGGAAACAGTTAGTTATATAATGGTGTACATAAAAATTATATTTCCAACGCGTGTTATTTCTAACGCAAGTTCTTATGCAAGTGTGTCTTCTAATGACTTGTTAGTTCTGACTTAGTCCTTGATAGTTCTAGCTAGTGTGGTGTCAGTTCTAGATATTATTGTGTCAGTTCTAACTCTAGCTAACGTAAGTTATTGTGCAAGTGTTTGTTCTAAACGCATTTTGATAGTTCTAGCTTAGTCATTGATTGTTCTAGCTACTGAGATGTCAGTTCTAGATATTGTCGTGTCAGTTCTAACTCCAGCTATTACAAGTTCTTATGCAAGTATTTGTTCTAATGCCCATATTAGTTCTAGCTTAGTTATTGATAGTTCTAGCTGTTGTGGTTTCAGTTCTAAATATTGTCGTGTCAGTTCTAACTCTAGCTAATGCAATTTCTTTTGCATGTGCTTGTTAGTCTAGGTTAGTTATTGATAGTTCTAGCTGCTGTGGTGTCAGGTCTAGATGTTGTCGTGTCTGTTCTAACTCCAACTAACATAAGTTCTATTGCAAGTGTTTGTTCAAATGTACATGTTCGTTCTACCTTAGTCATTGAAAGTTCTACCTACTATGGTGTCAGTAATAGATGTTGTCATGTCAGTTCTATCTTAGTCATTATCAGTTCTCTATGTTCTCGTATTAGTTCTCAGCACACATGAGAATATTTTCAACATTAAACAAAACGTATTAGTTTATAAATATACAAGCAAAACAGTTAACAACATATCAAGAACATAGTTAGCAATAGTTTCATTACATGTTTTATGGTTATGAACATCCACATGACATCGAGAGCATTTAAGTGACCGGG